TAATGTGTATATATATTTAATGTATTACACATGTATTAATGTATTATACATATATATTTAATGTATTACACATGTTATTTATATAAAACATCTTTCTTTTAACTATTTTCATTTACCATTTAATTTTTATGGTATTCTTTGCAAAGACATTTTCATTCTTGGGCCAAATCAAATTTTCCAAATATGGGTTTTGGCATCTCTGCTTAGAAAGCCTTCCCTTATCTGAAATTAGATAAATACTGTTCTATATTTCCTTGCTTAACTTCATGGTACTATTTAATCTTTTTAAACATCCAAATATTAAAGTTTAATGAATTTGCAAATTATCATGATTTGAAATAACAGCAGCATTACACAAAAGAGTGTGTACATTATAAGATAAATATTTAAAATGGAAAAATACACATATATGTAAATGCATGCATAGAGAAAATACTGAAAATAATAGATAATACTCTACCATATCTTATCTTTGGATATTGGCTTTTATGGGTATTGTCAGAACTAAGCCCAGGCATCAGGTACAGTGGAGCCTATAAACAGTGAGTGAGTGGCATTCTCCATTCTTCTTAGCTGCAGTTTGCATGGCTCTTGTGCTCTCTTCATCCAGTGAAAGCTCCTTTCCTTCTTCAGTAAGCAAAACAATTCCTCTCACTTCCAAAGAACAGGAATAATGTGCATGGACAAAGATAATGAAATGTGCAAGATCATTTTTATAGAATTATTTTTGTCTGTTTCATTCACTGTCAGAACCCCAGCAACTAAAACAGTGTCTGCTAGATGCCTATTAAATATTTGTGGAATTAGTGAACATATATTTTGCCCCAACTATTGAATGAATATGATTAGTTTACATATATTTTCCATTTATAAACTTGAGACATTTTATGTCCTGCTTATAGGAAGCATGGTTCTTGATTTGTAAAACTATTAAAGCCCTTTTAGTCTTTGAACATCCTCAAAACTGTTTTTAAGAGGTTCCCTTTCATCTGGGATACAGTTGCATGTCAATTGCCTCTGTAAACACATTAACTCTGTATCTATATAGGAGTACTCAGACTCAAGGTACTTCTTGTTTACACATCTGCATGTTAAACAGCCTGTCTTTGTGCTCTTGGTGTCAGTTGCTATCCACAGAGCGTGTGACCCAGATTTCGACAGGATCCATGGGGACCACTTTAGGTGGCTGGGACACACTTCACTCTCTGGCAAGAAGTATCGTATCCAATTTGGTAGAAGTTGCCAATCCAACTCCCATTCAGGTGTCCCCTCCCCTGGTTCAATATCTCCAGGAGCTCTGAACAGTAGCTGACGTTGGCCCTTTATCAGCTCTGGTGCTAAGGCATCAGGCCATTTTAACAGACATGGTCGGAGGAACTTTCTTTATAGCATTTCCTAAGCCCCAATAAGGAGCCAGCCCTGTACAATTTTCAGCCAAATTTATTTTTCTAACTCCCTTGGCAATAACTTTCATCTGCTCACACAAAGTAGAGGATTGTGAAAGAGCCCATAGATGCTGGTTAGGTGATGTAAACTTAGGGGCTTAAGGAATGGAACTGTTTTGCACCTAATTGCTAATATTTACATTTGCCTGGTTGGGCACTATTGTCCTGCATTACTAGCATTTTTATGCCCTGGTCTACAGCTTTTGAGCAACAGTTGACCACTGCACAGGTACCACCCTGTTCAACTAGGATGTAATGCAAAGCAATTCTATTATCCAATACAACTCTGGCCAGAATCTAAGGCTTCCTTTTGAGATGCTATGGTTTGAGTGGCCTCGTTGGTCATTATTCCTAAAGTCATTGAATGATTTCTAATCATGTGTTCATGGTCTCCTTTCTCCTCCAAAAATGATAAGGTCCTACCAGACGTTGGCTAGAAACCCTCTTCTTGATAGCCAGGTAGATAATAGTGAGAATATTGGGGAGCTTCTCTTTTGAGTCAGTCAAATTTAAAGGAAGCTAATTAATTTTTTTCTGTGCAAAGGACATGGTTTAAAATAAGTGGAATGTTAGAAATACAGGCAAGTAAAGTGAAGACAAGGATGCACGGTAATGAGTGGTGCATTACTTATCTTTTGTTAGTTGTCTTCTAAACAGTAACTTGAAATCTGTTAGGGGTTTACATGAGTATCCCTACTGTAGGGGCACAGCTATGGCCAGAACAGGAGAATGTCTCCCTCTGATTTCTGGAAGCCTTCTGAATAAATTTTTGTCAGTGGTGGGGCTGTCCTGGGTGATCTTAAGAAGAGCTGGATCGATTTAACAGAAGCATGATTTATTAAAAAGAACCTGTAGGGTCCCACCTACTTGAGCTCAAGCTAATCATCAGGATGTTTGTTTTTCCATAATTTTACTAAAACCCAGTCTCTGGGACTAATATGACAGAGAGGTACATCTGTTGGGTACATCATCCTGCTAGAAGCAAACTTATGAATAACTATTAAAGTTAGACCTAAGGACTATCTGTAAATGACAAAAACCTTAAAATGACATAGTTACAGATCTGATTATAATGCAATTGACAAAGAAATTAGATTTTCTCTGTAACATAACATTTTAAGATAGCAACCAAAATTACAAATAATCCAAGAAAACTATCTCCTTTTTAGCAGAAAGAGAAAACCAAACTCTAATTTTGCTCAGCTCACTTTTGATATTTAATTTCACGTACTTGATTAAATTTATTTCAATCTTATTCGTCTTGAGCACACATAAAAGTTTCCTTTCTCAAGATTCCTTTTCTACAAATCTTCTACAACTTTCCTTTTTTTACATTTGGATTTCATCCTGTTTTTTCCTCCCTCTTTCCTTCTCCTGTGGTTTTTGTGTTTTTCTTTCTGGCATTTTTGTTCTGGTTTCCACATTGAGAAAGTCTGTGCATAAGATCTTTAAGAGCTGGTTTTTGTTTCCCTGCAGTTCTATAATTTTTCTTGATATATTCCCCATTGGTTTTCAAAAGCAGGTGTTCTGGGGGCTTGTCTCTCCTGTGCAAAATCTAAGGGTTGAAGTGACTGATGTAGAGCTCAAATTCTTCACTCCTTAGGGAAACGTTCTGTACCTTTGAGATCCCTCCTGACCATGGCACTTTTCAGCTAGGCTGTGTGTGTGTGTGTGTTTTTTTAATAGGAAGACTGTATCTCTGCTTCTTCTATCTTTCTCGGTGCTGTCTATTGTTGCAGAGGCTGTGTTCATCCTTTGTCTAGGCTCCCTTCAAAGGTAATTCTTTCATATGTAATTGTGGATTTATTGTGTCCATGAGAGGAGGTGAACTCAGAATGTTTCTACACCATCTTGAACCTCCTGACACCATAACATTTCTATACTTAGAGATAAATGTACATTTCAAATGAACATGTAGATTTTAAGATATTAAATGTAACAAAATAGTCATGAAATCTTGTACCTTGAAGACCCATTTTTAAGTAGAAATCCTGAAATTGGTAATTATCTAAACTTTCTGAATCATAGTTTCTAAATATATGTTTTTAAAAAGCTTCAAAAAACTACATTGTAAAGAAAACACTTAGAGAGTCACACATATATCTAGGGCAAAATGTGATACATGGGAAGTCAATAGACAGTGGTTACTGATTCATATAGTCACATTCTGCTTCTCTGAAATATCCAAGAATGGTTCTTATTAAGGTATTTTGAACAAGATATATTTTCTTCTTGAAAGATATCAAATTAGTTTGAAGGATTAGATGGTTTACTTCCCAATGGAAGCACCACCTAACCAGTTTCCAGAGAAGATGGACAAAGTTCCCATGGCCATCAAGGAGATATAAACAATTTTTAAGTTTCTGAAATGGACAGGTTGTTTATTTTTAGTTTCAAAATGTATAGGTAGGCAAATGGCAACAATCCCTATTCCACAGTAAATTATTTAAGTGCTATCCTAATATTCAACCTTCTATGAAGAGTGTACTATGGTGGAATAGTTCTAAACATAGGCTGACTCAAGACATCATTTTCTTAGCATTCAAGACAAAATGGAAAATTAATATTTTTTCTTTTATTATATTTCCAGTTATTTCAGAACCAATTTTAACAATCAGTGTCAGTGATGAGAGTTTTCTTAGATTACTGGACAGTATCTCCCAGGAGTCCACTCTGAATAAACATTTACTTTTTCATTTAAAACCTTACTATCTCAGAATCAAAAGACCTTGGCATAATACTTTGTATGAACTTTTTTTTCCCTGCAAAATCCTCAAGCTGCTAATATAGGAATAGGACTAATTTTTCTTCTCTTAGAAACAAGGAGAGTAAACTGATCATGAATTTTCCATAAAGTTTCAAGACATCATAAGATTGAGGACTTTATTGAGGACATTATTATGTTCCTTGTTC